AGGCGATCAATCATGTTCCCAGTCAACTTCCCAGACACCTCTCCGGCAGCGTGATGGTACTTCGGAGCCTCTGGAGACTCTCGGGCTCATGATGAACCATGTCCCCGGACGGCCTTCTGAGGACATGATTTGTTGGGGTGTGTTGGGGGTCCTCTTGGGCGTTCCCTGGAAGCCCCTTGGGGGCCTCTTGGAGCTTCCTTGGGGCCTCTTCGGGGCCTCATGGGGCTTCTCGGGAGCCTGGGGCGTCTAGGGCCAGAGACTTCAAAATATCGGTTCGCGGTCCCCCTCTGGGCCCTCTCTTGGAGCGCTCTTGGGGCACACTTGGGTTGTCCGGGGAGCCTCCTGGGCCGTCTTGGGGCTCTCTTCGGGCCTCGTGGGCAGTCTTGGAGTGATCTGAAGGGCCTCCGAGGCCGTGAGGGAGCGTCGGGAAGCGGGAGAAGCGAAAACGCCAAAATCCTTCAGAAACCTTCGGAAATGTATGAGTGTTGCTTCCGAGGGCCCTCTTGGGCAGCCTCTTGAGGCCGTCCTGAAACATTTTTAAATCCTCGTCGGCCGTCTTGAGGGCATCTTGGGGGTTTTCGGGGCCTCTTGGGACTGTCTTGGGCCCTCTTGCGGCCCGTTAGCCTGTCGTGGCCCGTTTCGGGGCGGGCCCGGGCCTTCTCGGGAGCTCTGGAACACGGCAGCATCTTGGGCGTCTTGGAGGCCTCTTGGGTCGTCTTGGAGCTCTTTTGGGGCCGTCTTGGGGGCCTCTTGGGTCGTTCTGGGGCCATCCTGGAAAACTCTTGGGCGATCTATGGGGGATCTTTGGGGGCTCTTAGGCCGTCTCGGGCCGTCGGAAGGCCGAAAAGAAAGAAATGCCAAAATCCTTTGAAACAATCCACAGACAATCAATGATGTTGGCCTCTTCGGGCCTTCCTGGAGGCCCTCTTGGACGCCTCCTGGGCCGTCTTGGGCCATCTTAGAGCTATCTTGGGCCGTCTTGGTGGGCTCCAGGCCCATCTGACGTCGACTTGGGGCCCTCTTGGGGTGCTCCAGGGCCGTCTTGGAGGCCATCTTGGGCGTCTTGGAGGCCTCTTGGGCCGTCTTGGAGCCCTTTGGGGGCCGTCTTGGGGGCCTCTCGGCTCGTTCTGGAGCCATCCTGGAGGCCTCTTGGACGATCTTGGGCGATCTTTAGGAGCTCTTGGGCCGTCTCGGGCCGTCGGAAGGCAAAACAAAGAAATGCCAAAATCCTTCAAAACCAAAGGAACATCAGTGATATCGGCCTCTTCGGGCCTTCCTGGAGGCCCTCTTGGAGACCTCCTGCAGGGCCGTCTTGGGTCATCTTGGAGCCATCTTGGCCTGTCTTGGTAGGCTCCTGGCCGGGCGGACGCCGTCGGAAGCTGTCTTGGCGGCCTCTCTGGGCCGACTTGGGGCCTTCTTGGGGTGCTCCGTCTTGGAGGCCGTCTTGGGCGTCTTGGAGGCCTCTCAGGCCGTCTTGGGGCCCTGTTGGGGCCGTCTTGGGGGCCATGGGCCGTTCTGAGGCCATCTGGGAGGTCTCTTGGGCGGTCTAGGAGCGATCTCTGGTGGCCGTTGGAAGGCAGAAAAGAAGCACATGCCCAAATCCTTCAAACAAACCAAAGACAATCAATGATGTTGGCCTCTTCGGGCCTTCCTGGAGGCCCTCTTGGACGCCTCCTGGGCCGTCTTATGTCATCTTAGTGCCATCTTGGGCCGTCTTGGTGGGCTCTGGGCCCATCTGACGTCGACTTTGGGCCTCTTGGGGTGCTCCAGGGCCGTCTTGGAGGCCATCTTGGGCGTCTTGGAGGCCTCCTGGGCCGTCTTGGAGCCCTTTTGGGGCCTCTTGGGTCGTTCTGGGGCCATCCTGGAAACCTCTTGGGCGATCTTGGGGCGATCTTTGGGGGCCGTCTCGGGCCGTCGGAAGGCCGAACAGAAGCACATGCCAAAATCCTGAAAATTACCCTGGCGACGTACCCAACCCCTGCGCAACACGGGGCATGCGTAGCTTGGGAGACGTTATACGGAGGTGATTACGTGGCATGGGCGCATATACTTCTGCAAGCGGCATTCGTGAGGCTCGCAGCCCCCCAGGGATTGCGATGTCCCGCTCAGATCTGCCTGGTGCCTCGCTCCGCTGGACCCACCAGCAGCCCTCGAAAGTGGCGGCGACATTTTCGCAGATCGCAGCCCCCAAGGACGGCGAGGTCCCGCTCAGGCCCGCGCGGTGCCTCATTCCGCAGGAACCACCAGCAGCCCTCGAAAATGGCGACATGTCGCGTATCGCAGCCCCCCCCCCCAAGGACGGCGAGGTCCCGCTCAGGTCCGCGCGGTGCCTCACTCTGCAGGACCCACCAGCAGCCCTCGAAAGCGGCGACGGTTTCGCAGATCGCAGCTCCCCAAGGACGGCGAGGTCCCGCTCAGGTCCGCGCGGTGCCTCACTCCGCAGGACCCACCAGCAGCCCTCGAAAGCGGCGACGGTTTCGCAGATCGCAGCTCCCCAAGGACGGCGAGGTCCCGCTCAGGTCCGCGCGGTGCCTCGCTCCGCAGGAACCACCAGCAGCCCTCGCAAAAGGCGACAACTTCGCAGATCGCAGCCCCCCAGGGACGGCGAGTCCCGCTCAAGTCCGCGCGGTGCCTCGCTCCGCAGGACCCACCAGCAGCCCTCGGAAGTGGCGACCGTTTCTCAGATCGCAGCCCCCCAGGGACGGCGAGGTCCCGCTCAGGTCCGCGCGGTGCCTCACCCCGCAGGACCCACCAGCAGCCCTCGAAAGTGGCGACATTTTCGCAGATCGCAGCCCCCCAAAGACGGCGAGGTCCCGCTCAGGTCCGCGCGGTGCCTCACCCCGCAGGACCCACCAGCAGCCCTCGAAAGTGGCGACAACTTCGCAGATCGCAGCCCCCCAGGGGCGGCGAGTTACCGCTCAGGTCCGCGCGGTGCCCCACCCCGCAGGACCCACCAGCAGCCCTCGAAAGTGGCGACAGATTCGCCGATCGCAGCCCCCCAGGGACGGTGAGTTCATGCGTCATGCTCAGGTCCGCGCGGTGCCTTACCCCGCAGGACCCACCAGCAGCCCTCGAAAGTGGCGACCGGTTCGCAGATCGCAGCCCCCCAGGGATGGCGAGGTCCCGCTCAGGTCCGCGCGGTGCCTCACCCCGCAGGACCCACCAGCAGGCCTCGAAAGCGGCGACAACTTCGCAGATCGCAGCCCCCCAGGGATGGCGAGGTCTAATTTGGGTCCGCGCGTGGCGTCACTGTGCTGGGTTCCCCAGCAGGCCTCGAAAGTGGCGACACTTTCGCAGATCGCAGCCCCCCAGGGATGGCGAGGTTTAATTTGGGTCCGCGCGTGGCGTCACTGTGCTGGGCCCCCCAGCAGGCCTCGAAAGTGGCGACAGGTTCGCAGATCGCAGCCCTCCAGGGATGGCGAGGTCTAAGTTGGATCCGCGGCGTGGCGTCACTGTGCTGGACCCCCCAGCAGGCCTCGAAAGTGGCGACCTCCAGGGATGGCGAGGTGGAATTGGATCCGCGCGTGGCCGTCACTGTGCTGGGCCCCCAGCAGGCCTCGAAAGTGGCGACACTTTCGCAGATCGCAGCCCCCCAGGGATGGCGAGGTCTAATTTGAATCCGCGCGTGGCGTCACTGTGCTGGGCCCCCCCAGCAGGCCCCGAAAGTGGCGACAGTTTCACAGATCGCAGCCCCCCAGGGATGGCGAGGTCTAATTTGGGTCCGCGCGTGGCGTCACTGTGCTGGGCCCCCCAGCAGGCCTCGAAAGTGGCGACAGTTTCACAGACCGCAGCCCCCCAGGGACGGCGAGGTCTAATTTGGGTCCGCGCGTGGCGTCACTGTGCTGGGCCCCCGAGCAGGCCTCGAAAGTGGCGACAGTTTCACAGATCGCAGCCCCCCAGGGATGGCGAGGTCTAATTTCAGTCCGCGCGTGGCGTCACTGTGCTGGGCCCCCCCAGCAGGCCTCGAAAGTGGCGACACTTTCGCAGATCGCAGCCCCCCCTCAGGGATGGCGAGGTTTAATTTGAGTCTGCCCGTGGCGTCACTGTGCTAGACCCCCGAGCAGGCCTCGAAAGTGGCGACAGTTTCACAGATCGCAGCCACCCAGGGATGGCGAGGTTTAATTTGAGTCTGCCCGTGGCGTCACTGTGCTGGGCCCCCGAGCAGGCCTCGGAAGTGGCGACAGTTTCACAGATCGCAGCCCCCCAGGGATGGCGAGGTCTAATTTGAGTCTGCCCATGGCGTCACAGTGCTGGACCCACCAGCAGGCCTCGGAAGTGGCGACAGTTTCACAGATCGCAGCCCCCCAGGGATGGCGAGGTCTAATTTGAGTCTGCCCGTGGCGTCACTGTGCTGGGCCCCCCAGCAGGCCTCGAAAGTGGCGACAGTTTCACTGATCGCAGCCCCCCGCAGTCAAGACAGGAGGAGGCAAGAGGGAGGCGGGAAGGGAAGAAGGGAGTGGAGACCACACTGCTCTATTCAAAACGAATACCCAACCAAGGAGGGTTGGGAAAAAAACTAAAGACAATCAATGATGTTGGCCTCTTCGGGCCTTCCTGGAGGCCAAGAGGACAAGAATCATCTGCACCGACTCCAGAGATCACCGGGCGCTCGCTGGAAGAGATGGCATCATTTAAAAAGCATCATTTGAAACAACAATCCTGTGCTACAAGCGCGGCGCCGAAACCCAACCCGGCTCAAGCTGCAGCAATGGAAGACTAACGGTTCCATGTCGGATCCGAGGGCCTGGGCAATCGATACCAGGGCCCCACTAAGGCAAGCTCGAGGGCGCCACGCTCCCGAGATGGCATGGCTTGGGCTGGACAATCAGCAAGCGGACATGGGCCTCGGACGGATCTGTCAAATTGTCTCTCCTGGAGAGCCGTGCAAGCTCCAGCCTCCGTCTTGATGGTCCGCCGCTGGGTCTGTGCCCGCGTTCTGCGGTGCTGTGGCCACGCCCAGCTCGACCTGCACGGTGGCCTGGCGCACATCCGCGGTCCGCTCAGCGGTGCCCGGCGGAGTGTTCGGCACTCCCCCTCAAGTCGATGGGGTGGGCGCTGAAGGAGTGGTTCCCCGTGCCCGAGCCGAGGAGCTGGAGAGGAGACTGCCCGCCGACGCTTGTCACGTCGACCCTCGCGCCGTTCTCGAGCAGCAGCCTGACCACCTCCGCGCTGCAGCCGAGGCGGACCGCGGCGCAGAGCGGCCACTCGAAGCGGCGATCCCAGAACGGCTCCTTGGCTGCCTCTGGGTCTGCCTCGATGGCGAGGCGCACTTGCTTCAGGCAGTTTCGCTCCAGGGCCAACAGCAAGGGCTCCGCGCGCTCCCCGATTGGCGGAGGCGGCGGCGTTGTAGGCACCCTGGAGCGCACACGCGGCGTACTGGGTGGAGTCGTGCAGACTGTCTGCGATGCCCTCGGGGTCCCAGGCGCGCATGTTCTGGACGGACCCTGAGCCAAGCACGCCGCCTCTGACACGCGCTTGGGGTTGTCCGTGGACTCGTCGTCGGAGTCGCAGGACGCTTTGATGGGGCCCACCAGTGAACCTGGCAACTGCGGGACGTCGGGCTGGTCAGTCGGGTAGTCCCGTCTCTGGAGGGAAGCCGACATGTGGCCGAAGTGCATCGCTACGAAAGTGGTCCTGTACAGGATTGATGCGCAAGCAACCTTGCCTTGAGCCAAAATGGCTACAAAGGAACGCAGCTTTGATATTGAATACATGCGCTGTCACGCCAGCTGGCGGAGAACTGCAAGAACCCCTCCTGTTCGCACTAGCTCGATGACTTTGCCTTCATTTTCTTTCGAGCCACCTCCAGCCGTCCTTCGGCATCCTTTGAGCCTCTTGGGCAGACGCATGCTGGAGATGCGGTCTTGGGCGTCTTTAGGAGCCGTTTTGGATCCCTCTTGGGGGCTTGCGTGGTAATTTTGGCAGTCTCTTGGGGCCGTGTTGGGGCCAGTTAGGAGGCCTCTGCGGCTGTCTTCGGGCCCTCTTAGGGCAGTGCCGAGGCCGTGTTGGGCCCATCTTGTGCCGTCTTGGAGCCGTCTTGAGCGGTCGGAAGCCAGGACGAGCGAAAACACGAAAAACCTTCAAACACCTCAAAGACAACAATATGATTGGCCTCATCAAGGCCGCTTTGTGGCGCGCCGGGTGCTCTCGTGGGGTGTCCTGGGAACTTCTTGAGCCGTGCTGAGGCGATCCTTAGCGCTCTTGGCGCCCTTTTGGGCCGTCTTCGGCTCATTTTGGTTCCTCTTAGGCGGTCTTGGGGGTATCCTAGTCTGCCTTGGAGGCCTCTTGAGCCGACTGGAGTCCTCTTGGAGGCCCCGGGGAGGGGGTATCAAAAAGGGGGCGAGATGGTAGCGAGGTGCGGGCCCCTGGGGGGCTTTTCGGGGGCTCTCGTCGTCGACGCATCTCGAAGCGACGCTTTTCCCAACCCTCCTGCGTTGGGTACTCGTTTTGAATAGAGCACTGCGGTCGCGTCTTCTTCCTCCTCCCGCCTCCTCCTCTCTTCCCTCCTCCTCTCTTCGGGCTGCGATATTTGAAACTGTCGCCACTTTCGAGGGCTGCTGGGGGGGCCAGCGGAGTGACGCCCCACGCAGACTCATATTACACCTCGCCACCCCTGGGGGGGCTGCGATCTGTGAAAATGTCGCTACTTTCGAGGGCTGCTGGGGTGGCCAGCGGAGTGACGCCCCACGCAGACTCAGATTAGACCTCGCCATCCCTGGGGTGTTGCGATCTGTGAAACTGTCGCCACTTTCGAGGGCTGCTGGGGGGGTCCAGCGGAGTGACGCTCTACGCAGACTCAGATTAGACCTCGCCATCCCTGGGGGGCTGCGATCTGTGAAACTGACGCCACTTTCGAGGGCTGCTGGGGTGTCCAGCGGAGTGACGCCCAACGCAGATTCAGATTAGACCTCGCCATCCCTTGGGGGGCTGCGATCTGTGAAACTGTCGCCACTTTCGAGGGCTGCTGGGGTGGCCAGCGGAGTGACGCCCCACGCAGACTCAGATTAGACCTCGCCATCCCTGGGGTGTTGCGATCTGTGAAACTGTCGCCACTTTCGAGGACTGCTGGGGTGGCCAGCGGAGTGACGCCCCACGCAGACTTAGATTAGACCTCGCCATCCCTGGGGGCTGCGATCTGCGAAACTGTCGCCACTTTCAAGGGCTGCTGGTGGGTCCTGCGGAGCGAGGCACCGCGCGGACCCGAAGGGGACCCCGCCGTCCCTGGGGGGGCTGCGATCTGCGAAACTGTCGCCACTTCCGAGGGCTGCTGGTGGGTCCTGCGGAGTGAGGCACCGCGCGGACCTGAGCGGGACCTCGCCGTCCCTGGGGGGCTGCGATCTGAGAAACTGTCGCCACTTTCGAGGGCTGCTGGTGGGTCCTGCGGAGTGAGGCACCGCGCGGACATGCGCGGGACCTCGCCGTCCCTGGGGGGCTGCGATCTGCGACGCTGTCGCCACTTTCGAGAGCTGCTGGTGGGTCCTGCGGAGTATGGCACCGCGCGGACCTGAGCGGGACCTCGCCGTCCCTGGGGGGGCTGCGATCTGCGACGCTGTCGGCACTTTCGAGGGCTGCTGGTGGGTCTTGCGGAGTGAGGCACCGCGCGGACCTGAACGGGACCTCGCCGTCCCTGGGGGGCTGCGATCTGCGACGCTGTCGGCACTTTCGAAAGCTGCTGGTGGGTCTTGCGGAGTGAAGCACCGCGCGGACCTGAGCGGGAACTCGCCGTCCCTGGGGGGCTGCGATCTGCGACGCTGTCGCCACTTTCGAGGGCTGCTGGTGGGTCCTGCGGAGTGAGGCACCGCGCGGACCTGCCTCGCCGTCCCTTGGGGCTGCGATCTGAGAAACGGTCGCCACTTTCGAGGGCTGCTGGTGGGTCCTGCGGAGTGAGGCACCGCGCGGATCTGAGCGGGACCTCGCCGTCCCTGGGGGGGCTGCGATCTGCGACGCTGTCGGCACTTTCGAGGGCTGCTGGTGGGTCTTGCGGAGTGGGGCACCGCGCGGATCTGAGCGGGACCTCGCCGTCCCTGGGGGGCTGCGATCTGGCAAACTGTCGGCACTTTCGAAGGCTGCTGGTGGGTCCTGCGGAGTGGGGCACCGCGCGGACCTGAGCGGGACCTCGCCGTCCCTGGGGGGCTGCGATCTGCGACGCTGTCGCCACTTTCGAGGGCTGCTGGTGGGTCCTGCGGAGTATGGCACCGCGCGGACCTGAGCGGGACCTCGCCGTCCCTGGGGGGCTGCGATCTGCGGCGCTGTCGCCACTTTCGAGGGCTGCTGGTGGGTCCAGCGGAGCGAGGCACCAGGCATATCTGAGCGGGACCTCGCCGTCCCTTGGGGGGCTGCGAGCCTCACGAATGCCGTTCGCAGAAGTATATGCGCCCATGTCACGTCATCACCTCCGTATAACGTCTCCCAAGCTACTCACGCCCCGCATTGCGCAGGGGTTGGGTACGTCGCGAGGGTAATTTTTCGAGGAGGTGCCCGACTAGGACGGGGAGGGAGATGAGGAGGCAGAAACATCAATAGCAATTGAAACAACAATTGGGCCGCCTTGAAGCCGTCTTTTCAGCGTCTCGGGAATCTCTTTGGGCCGTCTTGAGTCACACCACCGTCCGCACTTGGGATCCTTGGTGTTTGGAGCTCGTTACGTCGTGAAACACAAGAACTGGGCGAACATCTATGCAGTTAGCGTCTCCGGGCCATCTTGGGTGTTCTCTTGGAACCTTCTTGGCCCACTTCACGCCCTCTCGAGTCGTCCTGGGACCAATATGGGGGCGTTCTGGATGGCATTGGCTGTCTTGAGGCCTTGATGGGGCCCTCTTGGAGGGCTCTTGGGGCCCTCTTGGACCTCCCTTGAGGCCATTTGAAGCTTTCTGGGCCCTCCTGTGGCCGTCTTGGAGCGCCCGTGGGCCGTCTTGGGACGACTCTCTTAGGCCATCCTGGGGCCCTCTTTGGGAGACGCTTGGGCCGACTTGGGCCGATGCCTGGGGCTCCTCCTCCTCGTCCTCCCCATCATCATCATCATCATCATCATCATCATCATCATCATCATCATCATCATCATCATCATCATCATCATCATCATCATCATCATCATCATCAGCATCATCATCATCAGCATCATCATCAGCATCAGCATCATCATCATCATCATCATCATCATCATCATCATCATCATCATCAGCAGCATCAGCATCATCAGCATCATCAGCATCAGCATCATCAGTCATCGTGTCATCATCATCATCATCATCAGCATCAGCATCAGCATCAGCATCATCATCATCATCATCATCATCATCATCATCATCATCATCATCATCATCATCATCATCATCATCATCATCATCATCATCATCATCGTGTCTTGTGTCGTCAACGCTATCGGTGCTCGGTCGTCGAGATAGATACTACGTCGGGGCCGATGCTGGTGAAGACGGGAGTAGGTGGAGTGATGGGGGACCCCTTCAGTGTTCATGGCTTCTCGGGAGCGTTTATGGAACCAGTCAACAGTTGGGCACGGGGAGTGTTAGACAGCATTCCGACCACGTCCATGCTGCAGGGCGAGTGGTGTGGAGAAACAGTGGACATGTCCTTTCAGAAGTACGCAGACGATTTGTTACGTACGATTCCTTTGGCAGCGGGTACTAGTATGAGTGAGGTATATCAGATGTTGCGTACTTCCGACGACCTCTTGGACAGTTCCCTCGCCTCCTCAGGATATGCTCATAATAAACAGAAACAAGTCACGAATTTCTGTATTGCAAGGCAGGGCGCTGCGGAATGCAAGAAACACATCCGCGAACAGGGGGTGACAGGCAAGCGCATGGACGGCATAGTCACTGAGGCTGCTCGCTACCTCGGCCCTGTTCTCACGCCTACCCAGCAGTCGTCGCCTGAGGTGGAGAGGCGTCTCGCGGCGGCCACATCTGCATACTATAATATGGGGAGGTTTTGGAGCCTTCGTCTTCCACAGGCGTGGCGCAGCACTATCATCAGGGGCCTGGTCCAGGGTTCTGTCTTGTCGGGGATGGAGCCTTTCCTACTCAGTTCTAAACAGATGGAAACTATGGACAGGCATCTAGCAAGGTTGGGCAGGATGGCTATGAGGGGGAGGGCTTGCACTATGGGAGAGGATGGGTCTACACACACTCTGGACACGAGGGCTTTCCTAGCACACTGGGGGGTTGCTACTACACATCGCGAGCTCCTTGCGCGCAGTCTCTCCTGGTACCAAGACTGGGCGTCTCATCAAGAATCACATGTGCAAGTGCTGTCCGCCTTGTATGGGGCCTTCCCCTTCGAGGCAGCTGACGCGATGCCATGCAACGACACAGGGCTGACTCCGTACGCTTTCCCCTGGACGCAGAGAATTGGAACTGACCTACTTGTGGCAGCAGACTGTTGTCCAGACGAGGAGGAGCTTCTCACTAGGATGGGGGAGTGCCCGTGGTTACTGATTGAGGATGATGATTGTCGTAGGGAGTTTGCTCGTCTTGACTTTCGGCGCGTTCGGGCTGTTGAGCGTACATATGCTATATCACCCCCGTCTTTCGGACAGGAGGAGGCGGAGGTGAAGGAGGGCACTACGGATTTGACGGAGGAAGAGATCATGTACCCATTCCTATGTACAGCCGGAGTCGAAACTGCGCACGAGTTTTCGAAGGACAAGGAGTGCGAGGAGCGCTTCAGGACGGCAAAGGGTTTGATGGAGCACCTACGTCACCGCCATGGCATCCGAAATCTACCCCACGTTCTTACCAAGACGAACCAATGCCCAGTGTGTGTAAGAGTTGATCGGTCTCCAATAACAGCAACACGACACCTACTGCAATCTATACTCCGTGGATATTGCGGGACATGGGAGCCCAGCTCTATTGTTGAGCTCAAGATGCCTACGGACTTTAGCTGTAACTTGTGTACTTTCGTGGGTCGAGACTGGCCAGACCTTCGTAGCCATCAACAGGCTCATCTTCCATTTGCATGTGCAATTGTCTCAGGGAAGGAAGGCGGGTCGTCTTCAACATGGGGTTCTCGCATTAGCGACACGCGCATTCATCTTTAAACTTTGCAGTTGTTTCCACGATGGAGGGTGGGTGGTGTCAGAATGTGATTCTCGCCTCAGGGCTGCGCCCATTCGTTCTGAAAGTTCGCAACAGCTTCAAGGATGGAGGGGGCCGTCTTCAAAATGGAGCTCTCGCCTTGGCGGCGAGCATATTCGTTTTCACACTTTGCAGCAGATTCGAGGACAAAAGGCGGGTCCTTTTCGACCCTGGGCTCTCGCCTTCGACCGTGGGCAGTTGATTCAAAGTGGCGTTTTCGCTCGGGACTTCTGGTCAGTTGGAGACATGAAGCTTGCACAGATGCTCAAGCTGCAGAAATGAAGGGCGGTCCTGTGCGAACTTTGGCGTTCGCTTAAGACTTCTCTGAGCCCATAGACCCGAAGCTTAACAATATGGCGCAACCGCAAAATTGGAGGGCGGCTCTTTTTCAGAACGGGGCTGTCGCATGATACCTCCTCGACGCCCATGGCCAGAAGTGAAGGAGCATGCAAGAGCATACGTCTGCACGTCTGCACGTTCCTGGAATCACCTATCACTTTCACTTGAAGCGTGCATGGCAGTTCGCTCCTGCTCACACCGGGGCTCTCGTCTGAATGACAGGCCGACGGGGCGCTGGCCTGTCAAAGGAGTACCTCCTGAAGTGGGATGAACAACGAATGCGGACCTATGAGGAGACCTGGAATGGGAGGGAGCGTTGCAGAACTGCTGAGGCATCCTGGGTTTACTCGGGTCTTCCTTTCCCTCGGCCTCCTCCTGGAGGAGGAAGGGAGACCCCAAACAGCCGATTTCGTGATCATTGCAACTCGTGGCCCCCAGACCTCCCAGCCCCTTCCAGAACTCGCTGTTCGTTCCAGATGGTTTTCCGACTGTCCAGTAGCGCAGGGACGGCCTCCAAAACCAACACATGCTTGCAGCGCAAACAATTGGTTTGCGAAAGGGAGGGCGGCCTTCTGAGAAGACGGGGGGGCCTCCTTGGAAAGCAAAGGGCTTCTCAGAACGGCCCCGGTGGCCTCTGAGCTTTCGTCAAGAAGCCGGCAAGGATTCTAAGACGCCCCCCATCTTCTCAGAAGCCCTCCAGGATACTCGGAATGCCGCCTCCCCTTGCGCCAACCTCTTGCGCGCGCCGCTTAAAACGCCCCTCCCCGTGTTTGGACTCTCTCAGGACGCCGTGGCGAGCCAGCGGCGCTTCGCCTTCGGTTCCAGGACGTCCCAGCTGTGCTTGAGCAGCCAGTTGCGGAGGTCCTCTTGTCTGGCCTCGCCCCCGAGGTTCGCGGGGTCGTCGACGTCGTCGCCGCCACCACCGTCGCTGATCTCGACATCATACATTGTGGCAAAGTGCATGCATATTTTGTCATATAGAGTACAGGGAGGGAGCAATTGTCATCGCAGTTGGGGTTTCGGCAACCAAGAGTTGGTAACAAGCGCTGCGCGAATGGAATCGCCTGAAAACAATCCCATACATCAAGAACTCGTGCTGTTCAAAATTCATATCCGACGACGGCGGCGGCAACGACGTCGGCCCGATGGGGAGGTGGCGGGGGTGGTTGTGCTGCGCAGGCCCGCTGTAGTCGACGACGGCTGACGGCGGCGAAAAAACAACGGACGACTACGCGCGGCGGATGCCGTATGGTGTGCGTGCGTCTGTGCGTGTGTGCGTGTGTGTGTGTGTGCCCTCGTCTAACACCCCCATCATCCACGCCCGGATGACTTATGACCGGCTGCTGGCGCTGCTTGTTCCAAGCGGCTAGAGGGCTCGGCCTCTACACGCGCGTGCGCGGCCGCTCCTCGTGTCGCTGCGCGCGGGGCCGCCGTCCGCCACCACCCAGCACAGCCCTTGCTCCCTGCGTTTCGCCCACCCAGTACAGCGCTTCGTGGCCCCATAAGGAGCTCCACGGAAGGTCCCAGTGGCACCGCCCGCATGCGTCCGCCACCACCCAACACGGCCCTTGCTCCTTGCGTTTCACCCACCCAGTACAGCGCTTCGTGGCCCCATAGGGAGCGCCACCGAAGAAGATATTCACAATTGCGGTACTCACAACAACATATGGCTGGGACTTTCGCCAGGATAGTTTGTTTCTGCTTCGAGCATGTGCGTCCCCCCGCTTGCCTCCTCAACCAGTCCGCCGACTCCAACGACGACCCAGACTTCCTGCACGCCCTGCTCTCGCCTGTTGCACCCCCTGTTGGCAGGCTCCCGGCCCCCAGCGTGGAGACCGGTGCTCCTCGTCAGCGGCCCGCCTCCCGCGCTCACCCTGGACGCTGCCAGCGTGCCCGCCGTTGAGCCCCGCTGGGCTCCAGGTGAGCGACGATCAAAGACGGGTCCTACGCGAGATGACGTAGCGACCTTGCGCGGCGGCCTACGCGGGCCGCCGGCGCCGCACGCCGCATTGGAGACGAGGGCGCCTACGCGCGAGCTTGCGCGGGCAGCTTACGCGCCAATGTCGGCGCAAACGACCCCGTTTTCTGCGTCGTTCAGGTCAATTCGTCGCCTCCGCCGACTTCGACTAGCTGCAAGGCGAGCCCTCGCCGGCACCTCCCGGAGGCGGGCCCCCCTGGTGCCCAATGAGGAGGCTGGCGCTGCCCGCGAGCGTCCTGCCGCCCGGCCTCACTCACGGTGCAGCTGGCGGGCTGGCCATTGCGCTCTGCGGAGCTGATGGGCAGTCGACTGCGTCCCCACTCTCTGCCCGCCCCGCGCCCCTCGTGCCGCTGCGTCGCCCGGCGGTGCCCCGCCCTGCCGTTCCGTCGGCGCCTCATCCGCCTTCCTGGCTCGCTCCGCCCCCTCGGCGCTCTCCCGTTTCGGTCTCGTTCGCTGTTGATATCTTCGATGCCTTGCGCGGCCGTGCTCCTGTAACCTGCCGTGCTTGCTGGTCTGCCATGTTCTCATGGTGCGCCGTGCTGGCTTGTCGTCGCGTCCGGGGGGAGGCCGCTCGGGGCTGATGCGCGCTCCTCCTCGCCCTCCTCGTCCTCCTCGTCCTCGCCCTCCTCGCCCTCCTCGTCCTCGTCCTCGTCCTCGTCGTCGTCGTGTTCGCGTGGTTTGCCGTGCTGGGTCGTCGCGGGCCTTGCATGCTGAGCCCAAACGCTCTAAGGGGGGCGGGGGCCAGGCGGAGGAGGGCAGAGCCGAAGGCTTCTCTAGCCCTCACCACACTGGCCAGGCACCCCACACCCGCCTCCTCCTCCTCTTCCTCCTCCTCCTCCTCCTCCTCCTCCTTCCTCCTCCCTCCTCCTCCTCCTCCTCCTCCTCCTCCTCCTCCTCCTCCTCCCTCCTCCTCCCTCCTCCTCTCCCCTCCTCTTCCTCCTCCTCCTCCTTCCCCTCCTCTTCCTCCTCCTCCTCCTCCTTCCCTCCCCTCCCTCCTCCCCCTCCTCCTCCTCCTCCTCCTCCTCCTCTCCTCCTCCTCCTCCTCCTCCTCCTCCTCCTCCTCCTCCTCCTCCTCCTCCTCCTCCTCCTCCTCTTCCTCCACTGCCGCTGGTGTCGCCCTCCACTTCCTCCAGGACCTTTGGAGGCCTCCACTGCCGCTGGGGTCGCCCCCCCATCAGCTGCACGCGGGGGGCTGGGACTTTCTACACCTCTGATTGGGGGGTGTGGTCGTGTGTGCGTGTGTGTGTGTGTGTCTCTGTGTGGTGTGTGTGTGTGTGTCGTGGGTTATGGGTATATGCCCCTGCGGGTATTCCAACCCATGGGATAAAGCCAAGAAGTGTTTTCGGGCGTACCGGTCCATTCATGCTTTCTTGGGTGTACCGGCCTATCCGCTGTTGAATCTCCGTGCTTTTGGGTAAACCGGTCCATCCGTGCCGGCGGAGAAAATAAATCGCACCCGCGGGGATATACAGGTTGTGGATACCTCCGGCCTGTGACCCTTGTCGGCCTCTGGGGGCCTCCTCTGGTCACCGGGCTTCGGCTGGGTTAACGTCACCATGTTTCGCTTTCGCACTCCAGGTGGTGCATCCCTGCCGCAGCACGCTCCCAGGGTGCCATGATGCAGCTTCGCTGCCAGCTACCTTGTGATACGAAATCTGTGTATTTCGTATCTTCCGGGTCCGGGGGCCGACACCCCCGAGGCGTGCACATCTGTCCTCGTCTCTGCCTCTCTCTCCCTCTCTCTTCTCTCTCTCTCTCTCTCTTCTCTCTCTCCCTCTCTCTCTCTCTCTCTCTCTTCTCTCTCCCTCTCTCTCTCTCTCTGCCTCTGCTTTCCTCCTCCTTCCTCCTTCGCCGGTCGTCGTCCTCGTTTTCGTCCTCGTCTTCGTCCTTGGCCCTCGTCGTCGTCGCCGTCGTCGTCGTCGCCGCCGTCGTCGTCGTCGTCGTCGCCCTTTGAACGGGGCTCCTCTGGAACATAGGCGGAGGGCAGACGTTGTTTTTAAATCCCCTGTTCAAGTATCCCCCCAGGACGTTGCTGCCGGACATCCGCTTCAACTTTCTGCCCTCTTCCCCCACCCCCACCCCGGTAAGGACCATCATAGGCCTCACCAGTGAGGACCATGATAGGCCTCACACCCCTTGCGGCTGCCATCATAGGGGCCGCTTGGGTCGCCCTCTCCCACCAATACACCAATACACCAATACTTTACGGCGTCAATAGCCAATGGAGGGGGCCGAGGACCTCCCTGCAGCCCCTCGGCCAACGAAGACGGCTGCAGGGAGGGGTCCAAACGTACCTCCACCTTCATGCACTAATCAACCAATACACCAGTAAACCAGTTCCTCATATTCCTCCTCCTTCCCCTCCCTCTCCCCCTCCTCCTCCTCCTCCTCCTCCTCCTCCTCCTCCTCCTCCTCCTCCTCCTCCACCTCCTCCTCCCCCTCCTCACCTGCCTTCTTCTTCTCCTCCTCATCCTCCTTCTCCCCCTCTTCCTCCCGCCCCGTCCTACGCTCCACCCGCTGGGACGCTCCGCCGCCAGGGGCGAGCGCCCTCGCGCCTGCCGCCCACCAGAACTAGCGGAGCAGGCAACTGCCGACAGTCCGAAAGGCACCCCGCAGGAAGCAGACGAGCAGCAGGTCAGCTGCGCTCCGACCGCATGGAGAACGCAAGCGCGCATCGAGGCCCCAACGACATGTGAGAACCCCCCCTGCGAGGCCGAATCAATTCCGTCGCCTCACACAGAGGAAGCAGGGGAGCCCTCCGAACCCTGAGGGGGGGAAAGGTAACGCACTGCCTCCACATCTGTATCTTTGGCGCATATGCTCTGGGAAGCGACCGTCTGTGACCCACAACCGCGCGGCAGGATTTTCATAGATGATGTCGCCCCAATGTTGGCCAAAGGCCTCTCCTCCTCCTCCTCCTCCTCCTCCTCCTCCTCCTCCTCCTCCTCCTCCTCCTCCTCCTCCTCCTCCTCCTCCTCCTCCTCCTCCTGGCAGCATTACAACTAGATGCGCTCCGATACGATGGAGAAACCATCCAGAACAGGGGTCAACGCAACGCAACGGAGTTACCAAAGAAGCAAGCTGGGGGGTCTCACGCGGAGTCCTAGCCGGATCATCCTGAATCAGGCAGATCCGCGATTTTGCGCACCCCCGGGTCGGAGCTACGCCCCCATTCCAAGCCGCCCCTTTGCTGCGCTGCCTCGCTGCGCCTCCCAGGCCGCGGGCACCTCGGCCCGCTTGGACTGGGCGGGGGGCCCTGGCCCCACGCAGTCCCCAGGGCTCGGGAGGGTCAGCCATGCTCGGCATCGCCACAGCCCCCCTGCGCTTCTCCGACGCAGCCTCGGTTGCCACGGGTCGCCATGCCTCGAGGCTGGCCCCGTCGAGGCCGCAAGCCGCCAGAGGCACACGCTGGCCCCGCCCTGGGCGCTCGGCACCACTGGTCGGCACGTCGGCTGCTCGCGCTGCGCCCGGCGGGAAGGTCGCGCAGGAGACCGCCGCCGATGACGGGGCATCCGCCTCGGGCTGCGCGCCGAGCCTCTCCTCCCCCGGGGAGAGCGCTTGGCCTGATAAGCGTGGGCCCCGCCTTGCGTCGCCCCATCCAGGATGCAGGGAGCGGCTCCAGAAACTGAGCTGGCTCCTCCCTGGATTGTCGGCGCGCGCCCTGCCCAGGCACGCCGGTTTCAGCCGAGGTCGGGCTCTGTTGGGCCCGCCCAGCCTACTAGAGGGCCCACCGGCCGAACGCGCTACCAGCTCCTCCTCGTCGACTCCGACCATAGCATGCACGAGCGTGGCCCGGGGCGACTATGGACCAAAGACGAGACGACACCACCCCACCTACGGCACGACGGCGCTGGAATTTCAAGCACTTGCCCCGCGCAGCCTCAGCTTGTTATCGCGAAGACCCCGCAATGGCGACGGGAAGCCGCCGCGCCGGCGGAGACTCTGTGGGCGCAGACAGCCGACCTGGACTCCGCGCGTCTCTGCAGGGAGACCTCGTGGGCCTCCTCGGGGGGTGGCTCCGTCTGGGGCTCGGCGAAAGGGGCCCGAAAACGTTTCGTCTCGTCGCCCAGGATGCCCTCCGCGTCGTTGACCTCTGGCTGCTGCAGGACCACCGGGGACTGGTCGATCCATCTGGCGAGCTCGCCGCACGCTCACGGAAGGGTGGGGACATCTCCATGCTGACTGCATGGAGCTTCGCCGCCTCATTGGCCCAATGGTCGGCGTTGCCGTTGCCGCGCAGCTGCTCTTCAGTCAGATTGCCATCGCGGACGTGCGACATCGGGCAGTGCGCGGGGAATGGGTTTTCAGCACGAATCTGCCGACCTCGAACGTCGGTCTGGTCGGCGCCGCTGCGTGAACAATCCCGCGGCGCAGGCAGCTGGTGGTGAAACTGCAGTCGACGCTGGCCTCCTGGATGCGTGGCCCACTGCACTCGCACAGTATCCAGACGGCGAAATCCTACCCGTCCTTGGCCGTCTGCTGGGGCCAGTAGCCGCACTTCACCGAACCGTAGACAAACGAGACGGAGTTACCGTCGTCTACATGCACGATGGACCGGCCGGCCCTCCTCAGCGAGCTAAAGGTGGGTTCCATAGCGGAACCGTCGAAGTACAGCTTGCAATTGAGTTTGTCGTCGGCAGGGCGGTTGACCCAGCCCACCACACCTGCATGTCGCCCTTCCGCTGTGCTGGCACATGGACGGGCGCTGGCAGCCAACAGCACGCGAAGTCCTCGCCGATGAGCCTGGCCCTGCGAACGCAATACCCCGGCTTAGAGGGGCGGTGTCGCGGCGGACGCCCTCCAGCTTTGGGCACTCCAAAAGCCTGTGCCAGAGCGTGCCGCGGAGGGTCCCGCATGCGCAGCAGCAGCTGTGGCTTTTCTCGCCCGTGATGCGGAGCTCTCGTGGTCTGCCGTTTGACGCGCTGCTTCTGTGGTCTGCCGCGCTGGTCTGTCGACTTGTTGTGGTTGGTCATGCTGGTCTGCCATGCTGGTCTGACGCCCTGGTCTGCCGTCGGCTGCCGTAATCAGTTTTGCCAGTGTGCCGTGTTCTTGTGGTCTGCCGCGCTACGGTGATGGCACTGGGTAAGGATATCTTCGATACGGAATCCAGGGTCTGGAAAACAGTGGGAAGCCAATCGTGGATTCGCCATGGATATCACCGCCGTCCTCATCAAAAAAGGAGACCTCCAGGGTCTGAGGCAGCTTGAGCGCATTCCTGATATAACGTCCCCACCGTATTGTGGTTTCTCGTGATGGTATGCAGTGTTGCTGTGGTCGGCCGTGCTGGTTCAACAACCCTACAGAGAATGGGAGAGCGACGGACGCCACAACAAAGCGCACAAGGGGACCAGGCCGCCGCGGGCGACATGCTGGGAATGGCCACGGATCGGCCCACTGAGTGGATCAATAATCTGCAGGATATGTTTGCGGCAGCGAACGGGAGTTTCCTTTGTTAGGTTCCTGTTTGTTGTTGCGAATTGACAGTAGTCGAGCTGAGTCGACGCTAGTCGACGCTGAATCGGCGCTGTCCCATCGACTACCAAACGCTAATCGACGCTACTGCTCTCTGACGACGGAATTTCGAGGGGATACAGAGCCCCCTTGATTTGCCACCGAACAAGAAATGTCGAAGCGCCGTCTGTTTTGAACGCGCCAAAAGTGGACGACGCCGACACAACGGCAAATCCACGGGCAACCCTGCGCCCGCGACACAAATAGACGCCGCCGGACCTGCGGCAAACCCACGGCGAGCCCACCGCGCCCGAGGCGGCGGTTGGGTTGGCCTGGAGGCCGAAGGGCCCCCCCAAAGACGTAAAGTCGCGCGTCAGAACAAGCGGCGCGGCGACACCTCGTCCGGACAGAGACAGACCGACAGACCGACCGACCGACCGACAGACAGACAGACAGACAGACAGACAGACAGACAGACAGACAGACAGACAGACAGACAGACAGACAGACAGACAGACTCTCTCGGGCTCCCACGTTGCTGGTCCGCCAGCCAGCCACGCCTCGAAGGCGCGCCCCAGCCGTGCCTGGGGAACGAGGGCCATGACGCGGAGAAAGGGCCAGGCAGACAGGCAGACCTCTTTCTCAAGATTGGCATACGTCTTGGTCTTGTTAATGGTCTCCTCGTGCTGCTGCTGGACTTGATTCATTGTTGTTGACGAGATCTGTGTGCACGCTTCGTAATCGCTGAGTTTACGGATGGACTGCAATATTTCGGCTTCTGGTTTTTGGTCAAGAAGGTGTCTTTTCACTACTGCCAGATCGTGACGTTGTTGGCCTGCATCTTGTCCTGCATTCTCCACCGCCAAGATCTGCAAAGCGAGTTCTCTAAGTCCGGCTGCCTTGGATGTGCTCCATGCTCCTACTTCGGAAGGAGTGGCTCCAGGATTGCCTTTGTGTGCGACGCCGTCGTAGTTAGCTGCTGGTATGCTGTCGATCAAGGACTGGCTCTCTCGTGTGGTGTACGCTGTGTGGTCTGGAATGCTGCCGAAGCTGGGTTATGATACGTAGTCGTTGTTCTTTGTTGGTGCAGTCGGTGGCTGTTTTGGTTTGGGTCTTGGAGTGGCTGCTGTGTCCAGTATGATGTGGTCAGCGCTGCTTGGTAGTAGGTGTCGCCTTTCTGCTGCTGGTATTGTAGTTGTGCTGCATGGGTCTGGCCCTGTTGAGCTGGAAAGGCGTATTCGCTGTGCCTGACAGGCTGCCAGGATGGTCCTTTGCCTCTGTTGTGTTGTTGTCGCTGTTGGTGTTTCTCCTTGCCTTTGTCCTTGGCTGGGGGGGTCTGTGTGTTGGCCGTACTTGCGTCGGCTCTCTGTCTTGATGGCTGTTGTGCGCTGTGATGTCGGTTGAGTAGAAGCCGTGCTGCTTGGAGCTGCTGGTAGTTCAGTTGGTCGAGAAGGCGTCGCGCTGAGGCTACCCGTAGTAATGTGCGGGTTGCTGCGCGCTTTTCCCTTTTCCTGCGGTGCCAGGCAAGGTTGAGAGAAGTCGACGGAGTCGTGGCGCTACTGCTTGCAACATGCTGCAGTGTGGATAGATCGCTGGCCAAAACGGCCATGCAAGTGGTACTTGTCGTGTGCTTGGGCGTCGATGCTGCCGTGAAAGGGCGAGGTCATAGACTCACCTGTTCCGTAGATCCTCCTGTCGACGCTGTCCTTGATGTAGTCAGGTCGGAGACTTCATCTGGGCTCCCTGCGGCACCCGCGCTCGACTTCATCTGGGCTCCCTGCGGCACCCGCGCTCGGTAGAACAGTGAGAAAGATTAATTGGGGAATGCAATGTGAGATGTGAGCACTGGTTTGTGTGGCCGTTCGGTCGGTGCACCGCCACTGACACGCCTCAGTCGCTTGGCGGTTTGTGGTTCCTCTTGCTCCTCCTCCTCCTCCTCCTCCTCCTCCTCCTCCTCCTCCTCCTCCTCCTCCTCCTCCCCCTTCCCCTCCTCCTCCTCCCCCTCCCCCTCCTCCTCTCGGCGACTGCGGCGGCCGCGGCCGCCTCCACGTCGAAGTCCGGGGGCAGGCCGTCGCCTCGCCCGCCCGGCGGGCGCCCGCGCGGGCGCCGCCCCGCGCGGCCCCCCCCGGCGGCCTTCGGCGGCCGCGACCCCCTCGGCGGCCCCCCATCGGCGGCCGAACTCGGTGGCCACTCCTGAAGGCTCACTTCGAGCACAACTTCGAGGCCAAGTCGGGCATCTCTGAGATCCAGGGGCTCCGGAGGATGTCTCGGGCGCCGCGGCCTTCTCAGAACGTCGAGAGCCTTCCGGTTTGCTCTGGAACGTGTTCCAATGGCAGCGGGAGCACGTACGGCGGCGAGCGTCCTCCGTCCGAGTGGCCCTTCCTGGCGCCCCTCGGCGGCGCAGAGCGGCGGCCCCTCGGCGGCCCGACCAGTGCAGAAGCGGCTGCAGCCAGCACTCCGCTTGCAAGCGGCCCTTGCCTGCAGGAGGCCGGGAGCTATCCCTCTCGGAGCTCCACCGGGCACGAGGACGACGGCGACGACGACGGCGACGACGACGGCGACGACGACGGCGACGACGACGACGACGGCGACGACGACGGCGACGGCGGCGGCGGCGGCCCTGCGCCTCGCGCTCGGCGGGGCCGCCCCTTGAAGGCGACCCAAGCCACCCCCACACCCGCCACATCATATCTTATATGTTGAAGGCCTTTCTCCAGAGCCTGTGGCCCGGCGACCGTCGTCCGCTGCATGTGCCCCAAGACAGGCCCCTGGCAACTTGCGCAAGATGCAGCCGCCGAGGGCTGGGGAAAACATTCTAAAACCAAAGACGTGTCTAATACATTCCCATAACTTTTCAATACAAAAACTGCCGCGCGCGAAATTTACTGGGGCATTGCTCAAATCGCGCCATCGCGCACGTGCAACGGCGCAATCTTATAAACGCAAGAGCCCGCCTTAAAAACACGAAACAACGGTTGAATGAAAACAGAAACCGGTTTTCTTAAACGATGTGAGAAGCCCGGAACGCCGCGATTCGCAATCCTCGCCGTGGGGGCGCGCCGACTAAGTCCGCAAGCGTTTCAGAACAACTGGAAAACTCAGCCTGGCGGGTGAGGGGGTGGGCTGTTCTCTCTCGAGCCCCGCGCGGAGGCGAGCCGTCGCGCGGCGACCCGCGGCGGCGCAGGAGGGCGTCACGCCAACAACGCCGCTGGCGCCGACGGCGGCGGCGGCGGCCTCCGAGAGCCGCCGCCGCGGCGGCCTCTCGGAGGCTCGCGGCTCACGGAGGCTCCAAGACCTGGAGCCCTGCAGGAGCCTCCTGGAGCCCCCGAGAGACTCTCTGAGCGCCGTGGAAGACCGTCCAAGACCTCGAGGAAAGCGTCGGTGACCTTCGAAGACACTCGAACAAATCGACGACGTCGACGGCCGAGCATCGTCAAAAGTCGACGACGACGACGAAGACGGCGACGGCGGTGGCGGCGACGACGACAGCGACGACAACGACGGCGGTGACGACGACGAAGAACAACGCACGACGAACGACGAACGACGAACGACGAGAGACGGACGACGACGACGACGACGACGACGACGACGACGACGACGACGACGACGACGACGACGACGACGACGACGACGACGACGACGACGACGGCGGTGTCGGGGACGACGACGACGACGGCGACGACAATGGCGGCGGCGACGACGAGCGGCGGCGGCAGCCCCGCGCCGTTGGTGCCACCGTCCATCGGGGGCGAGTCCAGCAGCCTCCGGCGAGGCCCAGGGGCGAGGGCAGGGCGACGGGCCTCCTCGTCGTGGCCGTCGACGTCGTCGCGGATCGTCGTCCGTCGTGGATTTGTCGTCCTGCGTCCTTCGTCGTCGTCGTCGCTGCCGCCGCCGTCGTTGTCGTCGCCGCCGTCGTCGTCGTCGTCGCCGTCGTCGTCGTCGTTGTCGTCGTCGTCGGCGTCGTCGTTCGTCGTGCGTCGTCGTTCGTCGTGCGTCGTTCGTCGTCGTCCGTCGTCGTCGCTACCACTGCCGCCGTCGTCATCGTCCTAATCGTCGCCGCCGCCGCCGCCGCTGCCGCCGTCGTCGTCGTCGTCGTCGTCGTCGTCGTCGTCGTCGTCGTCGTCGTGGCTGTGGTCGTGGTCGTGGTCGTGGTCGTCGTTGTTGCCGTCGCCGTCGCCATCGCAGCCGTCGTCGTCGTCGTCGCCTTCCTTTGCTGCACATAGGCTTGCCTATAGAAGTCCTGTCTATATCCCTAAAATGGTCCACTGGTGCTGCCCCACTTTGCAATGGCTTTGCCCCAGGTGACTGCAGTGGCTTCATCTGCCATTGCAATGGCTATCTCTGCCATTGCAATGCCTCCTTTGGGAATGTCCAGCGCCACTCAAGTCTCACGTCTGGATTCCTCACAGTAACTTGAGCCCCCATGGCATCGGACGAGGACGAGGGAAACAAGGAGGAGGAGGAGAAGGAGGAGAAGGAGGAGGAGAGGCGAAGGAGAGGAGAAGGAAGAGGAGAAGAGGAGAGGAGAAGGAAGAGAGGAGGGCACGAGAAACAGGAGGCGGAGAAGCAAAAGGAAGAGGGCCTGGGAACCACTACAACGGCGTTGAGCATCATGGCCAGGAAGTCGGCGACCTCTCCAGCTGGGCTCCAAGGGGGCCAGATGGTTGGCAAGATAAGTATAGAGAAAGAGAGCGAGAAAGAGAGAGAGAGAGAGATACGGAGAGAGAGAGAGAGACTCCCGAACCATTAACAAAGTAATAAAGGGAGGAAGAGAGAGAAAGAGAGAGAGAGAGAGATATAAAAAAAAAACATGGAGAGATGGAGAAAGAGAGAGAGAGAGAGAGAACACACAACAACAAAATCACACAAAAAGACGGAGAGATGGAGCAAGAGAGCGAGGCGAAAGAGAGAGAGAGAGAGAGGAAGACAGAGAGAAAGAACAAACAAACAAACGAGAGGGGGGCACAAACAACAAGGGAGATGTTTTCGCTCCCTTCTCGGGGGTGTCGGAACTCCCACCCCCCGAAGGAATTCCGCCCCCGGCCTCCATGCTGTTCTTTTCCCTCGGGTGGGCAGGGAGATCCCGGCTCCAAGACAGCACCAAGTGCGAACAATATTGTGGGTTCGAGCTCCCGGTGCTCCCGCGAGACGCCCCCTTTGGCGCCCCCCTCACGCACTTCGTGCCCCGCGGACTTCCAGAGGGTCCGAGGTGGCCCCCAAGACGGCTCCGGGGAGCCTCGAGTTCGCGCTACCCTCGCGGACTTCGTGCCCCTTGGATCTTCGGAGGTCCTCAAGGGGGCTGAGGGATCCTCATTTCGGCGCACCCTCAACGCACCAAAGCTTTGCGCCTCATGTACTCCGGAGGACTTCAGCTGGCCTCACGAGACGACTCAATGGGGCTCCTATCTCAGCACACCCCTCGAGCATGCTGTGCCCCATAAGCCACCCCCCTCACACACTTTGCGCCTCATGGACGCTCGGGGGCTTTCAGCTGGTGGCTCAAAAGGGTGCCCCATAAGCCTCCAGAGAACATCAGCTGGCCCTCAAATCGGCTGCATGGACTCGCATGTCGGCACGAAGGGCCTTCAGCTGGCCTTCAAGACGGCTCAATCGGCATTCTCTTCGGCACACCCGTCACGCGCCTAGTGCCTCATAAACCTCCAGGTGCTATCAGCTGGCCAGCTGAACGGATCTTCAATTTTGCACAGGACCTCGTCGACGGAACGCGGGGAGAGAGTAGGCGTGCGGTCTCGCCCGGGTAATGAGCGGGGGGCCAGGCTCCTGGCCTAGGATCGCGAGGGATCCTGGAGCCGAGAGAGAGGTGGCGAGACAGAGGGAGGGGGAAGGAGAGAGAGAGAGAGGGAGAGAGGGAGTGACAGGGACAGAGAAAAACACAAATGACTCCGTGGGGGCCAGGTTCGTCCATCCACTAGACATTCAAAGGCCCAGAGGCTATCCTCGAGATACATGGGGAGAGGGGGGGAGGGCGGGAGAGCCAGAGAGGGGCTCCAACGAGCCTCTTCCCCTCGGAGCAGGGCATGGCCCAGCACTGCTGAGCCTCAGCTGAGCAGCAAACCAAACCCAACACTACAGAACATATGCTTCTCCGGGCATCCGACGTCTCGGAAACGCCGACGCAGACTCTCATCCTCCGGTGTAAGATGAAACCAAGACGAGGACAAATCGGGGCGAAGATAAATCGAGAATCTCTGAGATCGGGCGGCTCTGGAAAATGTCTCGAATACTGCGGCCTTCTCAAAGCTTTCTGGATCGCTCTGAGAGCGTTCTGGAACGCTCTGGAACGGATTTCCTCGTCCTACCTCCGTCCGACCATGGGCCGCTTGGATGAAAAGTCGGCTCTGGTATGGCCAAGGAGACACCAAGCGGCCCGAACCCCATGTAGGTGACACCCTACGAGGTTCATTGGCAGAGATCTTACCCGGGAAGTTTGAAAGGCGCCACGAGTGGGAGTGAGAACGCGTTTCCCTCTCGAGAGGAGGATACCAGTGACGATGCAGGGCTGGTGCTGACGAACCTCACGCTGGATTGCCTCGCGTAGCAATTGTCGTCGATGGTTGGCGCGCTCTCCTTTTCCCCGGCGCAGTCTGTGAGAAAGCTGAGCCGTGGCCGAGCACCAGCGGAGGGGGGAAGAAATGAAGGGGCCCAGGGAGACACAAATTAATACACACAGATCCCAAAATTCCCCCCCACTTCCCAAATTTCCCAATTTCTCCTGGGGATCGATGATTCCTTGTGTCCGTCCTGAAGAAATCGTGGATGGAGCTGCGAAGTTGGAAGCGATCCTCGAAACGGGGGCTCGCGCTCGAACGGCACACGCCCACAGTGCGCTTGTTTTTCGATGGGGGGCGCTCCCCTGGCGGAGAGGGAGCAGCTCTCAAAAGGCTTGCGACGGAAATCGGGACGGGAGGCTGCGTGTGCGTGTGTGGCATCACCCATCCTGAAATGAAGCCAGGACGAGGATGAATTCGGGCGAAGATAAATCGCGAATCTCTGAGACCCGGCGGCTATGGAAGATGCCTCGAGCGCCGCGGCCTTCTCAGAGCGTTCGGTAACGCTCGGAGAGCGTTCCGGAACGCTCTGGAGCGGATTTGTCCTCGCCCCTGGCCCCGCCCGACGCCCCGTGGCCGCTCCTCTCTCCTCTCCCCTCCCTCTTGTATACGAAATTTCGCGTGCCGTCTCCCGGCCTGCTGAGCGCGCGTGCGGAGTGCCTCCGCCGCGCTGCGACGGAAAAACTGTGTGGCATCATCGATGGCGCATTCTGGTATTACTATGGTCCATTTCATCCTCTATCCCCAGAGGCGTCTGGAGGTTCCTGGAAACACCCGGAGCTCCCCGAAGTCCTCCGGAGACCTCCACAAGCCCGAGGCAACCAAACATTCCCAAAAGTTAAGAAGTCTCTCCTCCTCCTCCTCCTCGCCCTCCTCCTCGCTCCATCCCTCTTCCTTGCAAACCCGTCTCCTTGCCGCGAGGCACTAAGTAGAGTGTCGCCATGTCCCTGAGGGTCCTGCTTATGGAATGATGAAGCCCGCAGCCCCGAGTTTTAATATTTCTGTCGCAAAAAAAAAACCACGAAAGCCCCAAGAGGTCCCAAAGGCGGTCAAAGAGGGCCCCGAAATTGCCCACGCGCGCTGGAAGACACCAAAGATCGCGTCAAGACGGCTCAGGCGGTCCCCAAGACGCCCCAAGAGAGCTGGCCCCCAAGAGGGCCCAGAAGGGGTCCAAATGATTGATTGTCCTTCTCTTTCCATCTTTCGACGGTCAAAAGCAACCCAAGATACTCCCCAAACAGCCCCATGACGGCCCGAGGCCCCGAAGACGGCCCAAGGTGGCCCACACATCGGCGCGAAAGTGGAGGCATGAACAAGCTCAGCGAAGAGCCAAAACCAAAGGAAGGCGTCCTTTCTTAGGGGGGGCCATGCACTCGGGAAAGTGGCTTCTGCGGGGTCGCGGGATTCGGCTCGTCTTCGTTTCGGGTTCCTCGTGCGTTTTGCTGGATTCGACTCGCGCGCAGGCGCCCTGTTCCTAGGGTCGGGGTCTAGCGCTGCCGTGCATTACGTCAATGTGCGCTACGGACGGATACCTTCCCTCGAGTCTTTGGCGCATCGTTTCGAAAGCGCCGAGCGGACAGCTCAATGCTGGGCTCTGGCCCTGCACATTCCTGGCAAGAACAACGTCATTGCAGACGCGGGCTCCCGGTCACTGGACTTCGCGCGTTCCTGGCGCGAGGGTCAGCACAGGGACGCCGCACTTCGCAAGACCTGGTTTCAAGAGGTCGAGTCCAGATGCGGCGTGCAGCTTACGCTGGACTTGCTCGCAAATAGACGCGGCATGACGGCTCTCACCCACGAGTGCCGCGTTCCAGAACTTTCCGTTTTCGAGGCCGAGCTGCGCGGCCACGCGGTGTGGGCGCACCCACCGCGCGCGCTGCTCAAGGAGACTTTTCAATTTTTGAACGCCGCCGCTGCTGATAACGCAGACCTGCGCGTTGTCATCCTCTGCCCTGACGACCCGGGAGCCCCGTAGTTCCGTCCGTCGTTGCTATCCAAGTGGCACAAGATCAGATCGCGGCCCGCCGGGTCCGACCTTTTCTGCTGGCCGTCCGATCGAGGCCTTTCGAAAGGCCCAGCATCGGATCTTCCATATATCGCGCTTCAAAGCTGGCTTCCGAACCGCCGGAAGCGCAAGCGCTGACAGAGCTAGCTGTGCTCTTCGGCACCTACAAAATAGACATCGCATTACGCATGCTCCCCCATTCCCTCCGCCCCCCTCCTGGCCCCCCGCTCCTGCCCGCTATAGCGGTGCATTGCTGGGGTCTTCTTATCTGTCGATGGCCTGGACATCCCATGCTCTCAAATTCTTGTTTCTTCAGCGTGCCCCCCCTTGCTCCCCGCGCTGCCCGTGCTTCGCGGATGCCCCGGGACGTTCTTATCTGCCGCGTCTCGGTTCAGCTGGTCCATCGGCGGATCTGCCGATTGACCACCGCCCGGTCGGGGGGATGGGGTCTCCGGTCGGCGAGGGCCGCGTTAAGGCCCTCATTGGCGAGGCGATTGCGGCAGCTTGCGCCCCGTCAGGTTCCATCCGCGCAGCGGTGCTCGCCAGCATCGCCAAGGGCGTCGCCGTCGACGGAACCATCGGCGTCGCTGCCACCCGCGCCGTCGGAGAAGGCCTCTCGAGGGCAAGCCGGATCCCGGAGTTCCAGGCCCAGGCAGACGCAGAGCTTCCGTTCCGCAAGGTGTCGCGCGATCCTAGCCTCGACCAGATCAAGCGGGCGCGGTTTGCGATCATGGTTGACGCCGACAAATTAGAGGAGTCTGTCACAAAGTCCCTCGCTGACCCGAAAAATCCCATGACCACCATTTACGCTTTGCACGCCGCACACCCGGCTAATTCGGAGTTGTCCGCGCTGACGAGCAGCGCAGCCTTGCGCCACGCGGCCCGGGCCGCTTGGAAACAGCTGCGCTTCCTCGAACAGGGCGGGGGACCCGACCGGCTGCATGTGTACTTGGGCAAGCGCGCAGAGAGTAGCGACGAAGCCGTTCGCGCCTTGGCCCGGGCCATTTTGGCTCGAGAAGCGCGCGACGGTTCTAGCAAGCAAGAAGAAGACTGCGCCG